CCCGGTAAAATCACGTGGAGCATCCAACCAAATTGCTGGAAAAAAGATCACCCATCCTTGCAATTTACGTGCATGCAGAAATTTCCTTACTAGTTTGCAGTTCAGCACTTTTATACATGTACATGTATATCATAGATTTGATTGGGACTAAAAAATTGATTTTTTTTCCCCTGGGTAAACAGACATGGGGCAAACTAGCCTGGATGGCAATAGCATTGTGGAGATATTCCATATTATGCCTGTGTATGGGTTGGATTAGAAATGACATTCTGTTTGTAGAAGCCCTCCTCATCTGTTACGGCAGATTACTGTAAATTGTAAATCTATGTTTGTGGGTAATTGTCTCTCTATCTTGTCTGAGGAATGTCATTATGGACTCTGAAGAAATGTAATCTGGTATCATTATAGGTACATAACTAGGGCCTTATTTGTCAGCACAAATGGAAATTTCGACCTTAAATTTAGCTTAAATTATCAAGTTAGGCTATGAAGACAGTACATACTTGTACTAGAAGGTAATATTGGAGATTTCTTGGATAATGGATATTATTGTTTGCATTATGATCTATTTTCTGTGTTTCCAATTTGGCATTTATAATCCATTTACCATCCCCATTCACCATTTCAATTTTACTCATAAATCAGATTTTTTTCCGCCTGTTACATTGTGCTACTCTGCTCCGCTTGTCAAACATCACATGGATTTTGTTGTCTCTGGCATGGTAATTTTTTTCTCGGGGAGGGGGAGGCTCTTTTCTTAGAGAGATATTGTAGCTTTTCACTGTTTATTTCATGAGCTGTAAATGTCTCTTAATTTTCTCTCATTTATAAAAAAAAAATGAACGAAATCATTTGAAAGTTCCCAAACAAAACACTTTAGCAGACCTCTTTCAATAAAAATGAAAGAGGTTTGAACCACATTTTGGACCCACTCTTTGATTAGTACTTATGAACAATATACATCAAAGAGGGATTAAGATTTTGCTCATTAGTATTCACCATATAGAATGAAGCTACATGATGAGCAGGTACTTTTGCATGATGCCAATAGGTCTGGCAGAGTTACGGGGAATGTTGGAAATAGACTGAATGGCAATCAATGAAATCATGGAAAAAAATTGAAAATTGAGCTGGCCGGTACTAGCTGGTTTAAGCTTGATCAGGGCCCAACTTCATGGCGCTGCTTACCGTAAATGGAAAATCGGCACTTACCGTCGCAGAAAATTCTGTGCTTACGGCAAACGTATTTCATGGGTTATCGAGGCATTTGTGTGCATGTTTACATCCCGTAACAAAGGATTCTGTGCTTGAAATGGGGCCCAGGTGGTTGAGGTGGTGTGTATAGCAACAGTGAACATGCTAACTTAACAGAATTCAGCACTGAACCAGTGGACAGGTTGGTAGGTCAGACGTAACGTTTCACTTTTTGGAATCTTTAAGATTCAGCACGCTTCATCCTTTCCGTGTTGGATTCTTTAGGATTTTGGCAAAATTTTTCCAGCGGAATGGGAAACAACACAGATCTTTGAACAGAGTAGACTCATCACCAGCAGGACAGCACTGGTGTAAGATTGAGTCTAATAAAAATCATCTGCATAATGTTCTTGCATTTTGGGGACTTTATGTTAAAATTGTCGATATCCTGCAGTGTCCTTGCTTTTACCCATTCTCCGCTGGTGTACATGAGCCTCCTGCGTCAATTTTCCACCTTCCATCATTGACATAGATTTAAGGGTGTTTTCCTGGCTACAACCTGTTCTCATTTTTTTTAATGGAGTGGGAGGAGAACCCTAAGGTTTTTGAAAGGATTTTCCTGTTATTGGTTTGAAAAGGTATGACCTCGGAAGTTTGTCGTGGTACCCAGCACGCGTATATAGCCCAGAACTCATCAGCTGCTCAGCTGCTACTGATTAAGTCACCGTTGGAAGCGCATTACCCACGAGTGGGGGAGTTTTCCCCTTGCGACTGCTACTGCTTATCTGCATGGACAGCTGACCAACAGGGGCTTTTCTTTTTAATAAATGGGCCTCAAGTGTTCCGAATAAAAGTACGGCCACGATGCGAATCGCATATAGTGGATTTGAAGTTGCCACAGTGTTTTTGCACAGCTGTAGGCAGGAACAACAGTGGCTATGCACCAATTTTCCCCAAAGGCATCTCTGCTGGTTTTGACTTCGTTCTCAGTTCACAAGGCGCATCAAGGCGGAGTGACATTTCAAGGCAGGAAAGAAAAGGTGTCTCTTTGCATGGAAGTACGTGCCCACCACATCATTGCAGTGGTGACACAATCCAGCTGTCAGGCGTGTTTGTGTGCCCCTGCTAATGCTCAACCCTTAGAGCAACTTCCCATGGACGGTTTTTGTTTTTTGGCACACGTCCGCCAATGAAAGCAATTCCGATTTCTCTGAAGACAGTAATGTGTTGATCGTGACAAGTGGATCGTAAAGTTGCAGAATGGGAGATCTGCTAACAAGCCGATACTATGGATTTTATAACGGGATCTCCCTCGTGCCACTCGGGCCGGAAAGTCAGCAGGTAGGTTAATGTGCATTTCTTTCCCCATTTATGTGAAAGGTTTTAGTCCACTTTAATGAGCCTATTCAATTCAGCCATGTACTGTATGCACTGGCCGCTGTCTTGACCTTGTGAGTAATATTACATTGGATTGTCTTATGAGCAACATGTGTAGCTTAATTTTTTTTTTTTTTACATCAAGTCATCCTACTGTAGCTTGGTCACTGACATTCTGTGTTCTGTACACATGTAGACTCTGCAGGTGCAATCCACTAATGGTAATCAAGACATACAATGGGTAGATAGTTAATGACAATTTTACCAGGTGTCCTGCCCTTACACAGTGACCCTGGGAGATTGTGCACATTCAGATGAAAATTGGAAAAAGTTGCCCCTTGTTTTCATGACACAGATCTAGAGCAGACACTCACAAAAAAAGCTTGTGAAAAATACAGATGCACCATCTTCTGTTCTTGCTTGGAGTCCAAAATGGTGTTAGTTCATAGCAACATAATGAATTGGTCCCTGATAGCTTAGACAGAGGAAAACAGCCTCAGTATCTTTCTTGCAGATTTGGCATCTTGCAGTGGCCAGTTATGGGTAACTCACGTAGATACATCCACCTGGGTTTGAATCCGGCTCGGTCCATGTTTGGATTGGGTTTTCAGTCCCCAGGCCACCTGAGTCCTTGGATTTTCCCTGAAACGTTTATCTGGGGTTTTCCTCCCACCTCTAAAACTAAACACTTCTTCATTGTCTTCTTCACTCATTATCTGTGCATGATCAGACATGTATAAATATATTGTAAATTAGCTCAGCTATACTTGGTATACACAGGGAAAAGCTGCATATTTGACGAGGGGCTTAGTATCAGTTGTGTGACCGGTGTGACATTTTAGAATCTTGGAGGCCACCACTTGTCCCTATATTCTTGGTCGATATTAGGTTTCCCAGTTGGCCACAAGTCATGAGGCTGCATCATGTGTTTGGAAGATTAAGCCTCACATGCTCAGCTGTCAGTTGAAGCTGTCAGTGTAAGGATAAAGTGTAAAAGTGTAAGGCAAAAGTTGGAATGTTCATAATGCCCAGATGCCTTTAACACCTACATGTAGCAGTAAACAAAGTTGCACTGCGTTTGTGAATCAATTTGTTGCGGCTCAGGAGTAACATACATGTCTATGAGAAGTAGCTGCATTAACCTGCTAGCTGGTGGCTTCCAGTAGGCTAGGCGTATGTACATTACTCTCCTGTCACTGTTCCTTCTTTCAAACACTGCCTCATTATCACAATATGCAGCCTGCTCGATCTCTCAAAATGACTTGTAACTTGGAGTACAAGGTTATGTAAGTACGGCTTTAATTAATGATGAGTCTTTTTTTTGTGCTTTATGTTTATTCTGAACTACTTTGAAAAGAAGGCTTGCATGCTTGCTTGTGAAAAAACAGTCAAAAATAGCCCATTTAATTGTGATTAGTGAAATGAACAGTGAACTGGTGTATTGGGTTATACAAATGTGCAAACCCTGTACTCTCTATGTACATGTATTCTGTGTAATGAAACTGGCAACAAGCTCTGAATTTATAAATCTAATTATACCTTAGAACTTCAGGTACATGTTCGTTATTGTAACTAAACTAGTCCCTTAATTGTTTCCACAGATGTTTAGCAGTGAACTTGGCTCTTGTGTAATTGGGATAACCTCTATTTACTTAATGGTCTGTCAGTCATTGAATATTAGGTTAAGTTCTGGTTTGAAGTCGACAGATAACGTATAATTTAATTGGATGTCTGGCTAGGCAAGAAGAGCAGGCCCTAGGGAAAATTTGATTAACTCTGGCCACAGGCCATTTCTCTCCAGCATCACTGTTGGCCAAATACCCATGAATCCTTAACTTATGCTCTAGTGGCTTTCACAATAATCATTTAGCCTACATTACATGTACATGTATTTAGGTATAAGTATTTGAGTCTGTTCTAGCTGGCTTCAAAAGTCAAGTTTACAAATAAACAAGGTGGTGTTGGGTGTAGTAGAATTAGTCACTGTGGTGAAATATTACTCAAGGGCTACACTGGAACATTTTCCCCTCCTAAATGTACATGTTCAAACCACAGAGCAAGGCACAAAATTGACATTAACCTTCATTTGCCTTTTGCAAGTGATATTCAGCTTTAATTTTATAGACAGTTTGTTCCACTGAAGTTGTGTCTGCTAGTTCCAAGAAGTTTCTGAAAATTGCAACCAAACTAAAGACAAAACCAACACCCAAACTTCTCAACCTCCCTCCCCTAAACTACAAACTTCAAACCAGTCATCTGTTCCTCTCTGACAGCCCTAGTCAAATTTCAGGCAGCCAAGTCGACTTCTGCAATTATCTGCAAAAAAGGAAAATTGCCCCACATGTACAAACCTAGACATTATCCCACCTCGCCTGACCTGAACTGTATGCTAATCCCCACGTGATCCGCCTTGCATGCTCTTGCTGTAGGTGCTAAAATCTGAGAAGACCCAGTTGGAGGTCAAACTCTCAGAAGTTCGTCAAGAGTTGGACTCCTACCAGACCCGGCAGCTCATCACCCCCAGTGAGGAAGTTTGCAGTATGTCCCCAACGTCGTCGCCTAAGACAGAGTTGGGACTGGGCAGAAGTCTGCACTCGGAGCTCAGATCGCTGGTCAGTGGTAGTTTTTAACTTGGAAAGTAATGTTTGCATCATACTAACGTACATTTACTAACGTAAAGTGTAAAATGATAGTTATAAACTAAATGTTTTCTTTTTTGGCTAGTGTTCATGATTCCTATGTGCTAAACATTTTTGTGCATTTTAATCCATGAGCCTATTTTTTTCACTGGAGAATTTTGAGAATTTTTTAGGTTTTAATCTATTGTATTGCTTACCAGTACATTATAACTATGTCTGATATTTGTAAAAAGTATGACAGTTAAAGATTGTGTTGGGAGGTAAGGGGGATGTTTCGCTATAAAATTAAACACATGCTCATAAAATCTGTTTAGATGTTGAAGCCACAGTGTTTGCTGATGTTCAGCCATGATGAACCCCTTTTCAAGTCCCATTGGGGTCGAGTGCTGATGATGTCGCATTTCCCAACTGCGAATGAGTAATTATTAATGTGCATAATACTAAAAAACCAATACTCCTGCCCAAATCCTCCAAAGGGAAACTGTAGACTCCTTGCCTCTCATTGCATTGTCGAAAGGAGGGGGGGACAAAAAAACCCACTCTGATGAAAGCTCTTAATGGGAATCTCGCAATGGCATTCCCAGGAGAGTTAATCTCGTCTCTCTGGCAACAGATTATTGGACCCCCCAAAAAACCGAATCTGTGCTTCACGTAAATTAAGTTTTTCATCCTTCCTTTAAGCTTGTTATATTCTCACAGTTAGTGCTGTTACACCGATATTACTCGAATGGTCATGTGCACATCGCCCCTCCAAGTGATATCTCGCAGTGGTTAGAGCTAGAATCCTGTGTGAAACTTTGCATCAGTGTTGGTGTCCAAATCCATTCAATGTCAAGTATTATTTCATTCGGCTGGCTGATGCACTTGCAAGCTTTATGCTTTGATGGTTGATGAGATGTCCGTATGTACTGATATTGGTGTTGAGGTGAACATTTAAGTTCCTGCTGAGCAAGCTGGCTGGGTATTATGCTGTATCATGTAGAATCAAGACGACTTCAAAGAATTGATGCGGCATCAAAAGTGTAAATTAGAGTTAACGGTGAAAAGTCGGATTCAAACAAAAAGAACATTTCCAGGTTAAGAATTTCACCTAATTCATGCACTTAATAAACATAGTCTCCAACTGTCAGTGATGTTTTGAGCTAAGAACAAAGTGTGAAGGCAAGAGGCATTATGTACAGTGTGTGCACATGTAATCAAGTTGTTACTGCAGCTACTTCATATCATCTAAAAATAAAATTCTTGTAATGAGTTTAGCCGGAAAGTCTGCAGCAGATGAGACACGATGAGATATGCCTCTTAACTTTTCACCTTCACCCCATTTGTAATTGAAATGCCACATACCGCTTGCTCTTAGGAAATAACACACTGCTGGAAATGTCCGGCTACCACAATTTGTTTTGTCCATCAAGAGATATTTCTGTTTGAACTATTGATGTGTGAGGTACATGAAGCAGAACATCTGTTGATGTGTACATTAAAGCCCCGTGGCATCAATTTTACTTCGCAAAGGAAATCTTGCAACATATTCTACACTTCTCAAATGTTTGAATACTGTTTGCCATCCAGTTTTTGGTGAGCTTTATTGAAAAGTGCTCTTTTATGAACTCCTAATTATTTCCCATATTTCTACTGACAAATGAGGGTACAGCAACTGAAATGCCACAATTTGCCATTAGGGGAGGTTTATTTCACGGGTTATTTCAGGAGTGCCATTTCCATTCTTTCCATTCACTGTATGCACACATTTCCAGAGAACACAGCTAATTATAATATTTAATTGTGATACGCGGACATGTATGTAAGCTGTCTCGGTATCCTGTTCATTTTTATTTTTGTCTGTGCTGGACACATTCTGAAACTGCAGTGGGTTTTACATTGAAGTATTTTTTGTCTGTTCCAGGTTTCTGCTGATGGAAACCTTCCCTCTCCAATCTGTGGCAACGAAGACTTTGACTTTGAAAATCACATCGGCAGCAACTCCAACGTTGCTCCCGAGACGCCATTGTCACGGCAACTGTCTTGCTCCTCCTCCTGCTCCTCAGCCTCTGTTGCCAGCCAGCTCCCACGTCACTTCCAAAAGCGCAAGCAGGAAGTCATGAAGCAGCTGCAGGTCTTCCTGGAGGAGAACGTTGACGTGTTACAGAGGGAGGGTGTAGACTTAGCTCCCAAGGTACGGCAGACCGTCCCAGTGCCAAGGTTAATTTCACAGATCCCCTGCTCCATATGCAGGCAACTAGTCTTACTCTGACCTGCGTGAAATAACCAGCTTAAATATCTGATCACATACTTTTGGACAGTTATCCAAGAATTTTGTTTGTTTTTTAGAGTGCATTCATTAAATTTTAAGCTAGTTTTGCTGTTTTATAACTCTTTTGACATGCTGAACCAAGCAGCCTTCCAGTGAAATACTTTGATTGTCTTCGGCTCATTTTTTTCTCAAGGCATTGTTTGAGCTCAGTTGGTACACCAGTATGATATTCTGGGGGTCATATGTTCAAATCCCACCTTGGTCAATTTCTTTGTTCCCTTTTATAATCATTAAAAAATATTTGAATAGTCAGGAGTCAATGTCTCAAATATGGAAGTTTGTTAAATTGCTTTAAAACATAAAAAAATGACAAACCCTGCCAATGCCGGTACATCTCCCAGTGTCATACTCAGTTTCACTTTAGTCACCATATTTTCGATTAAATCTTCAGTTCTGCATCGTTTTATACCAGTGCATGTACTACCACAGACGCACTCAAATATACGAAATTGCCTTTGGCACTGAACCCGCCAGAAATCATGTATCGACTTTGCTGCACAGGAAAACTGGATTGTGGAAAGTCATTTCCCCTCATTTAACCCCGAGTCCGTGCATTGTAACAAGTGTGAATCAAGTTATTCATAAGACAATACACAGTAGCCAACCTTTGTGGTGGCATTTGCAGGTGGCCTTCACGCAACTTCTGGACACGGAACTAGACTCGATGATAGAGAAGATGGCATCCCTGTCTAAAAATAAGAAACAGCTGGAGCAGAGGTAGGAATAATATGAACGATAGAGCCGCTGTGAAAGATTACACCTGTTTCTGTTTGAGAAGATGAGAAATCAACTGAATTGCTTTTAATGACAGTAATTCATTTCAAGCACAAGTTCCAGGCCATGTAGGCCATGTGTGAATTACTTACCAGTAGCTGCAGCCACAATCATAGACTCATGTGTAACTTTAAGCCACAGCCAAGTAATTCAGACACGACCGTATTTTTTGTCAAAGCTGTATGCTGTATCAAGCTTCAGAGTACCGAGAACAGATGTCAATTTAAAGTGGTACTAGGTGGCTGAAACTAATTTCCCTGTGGTATGTTCATCGGGTTTGGCCTCTGTGAATAACCTTGAACACTTTCAAAATTTTGTAAACGTTACATTTTGTAAACATTTCAGAGGACTTTCTGTAATGGTCGTGGCTCTTTTTCAAATTTTAGCAAAGTAGGGTAGGAGACTTTACTCCAGTCTAAAATCTTTGCTCGGGGTGAGCTACACTCTTTACGGTAATCAGATTTTGACAGTTCTAAAAGCATCTTTTTATCCAACCTTCCCATAGAGCCAACAAGCTGTCATTTATGCTGCAGAGTTTGCAAGGTATGAAGAGTTGTCATTAGTTTAGTGTATTTGCATTTTGCTTTATGTATTTCTTTAAACCACTTTGTTGGCATTCGAGCAAATGCATTTTTATTGTTTATCAAAATTGCTACCATTTATCAATTTTATATCGAATGACCTTACTAGTGAATTTTTATTATAGTTCCTTACGTATGCACAGAAAGAATACACGTGAATATCTGATGTTAAATTATCATAGAAAACAATTACAGAATTCATTTAACCCCCAAAAGAGCTGGTGTTTTTGGAATATTTCACAGCCTGGAAGGAGTGGGGAAGAACTCCTTACCAAAACAACTATGAAATTTTAACTCAATATGACTTACATGTTTGGTCTTGTTGTTATGGCCATTTGAAGTTCAAGGCCACGCTCGTGTCAGCCTGCGTGCATCGAGCACGTCAGTGGAAAAAGAGTACGTTTTTGGTTGGTGTTGTTGACAAATGGGAGCTGCATGAGAGCTGTATGTCTGAGTATTGCAAAGTTGGTGTAAACAAATCTTAAAGGCTCAGCACATGAGAAAAAAAGCATGATCACGATATCAGAAAAAGATACTGAGGGGGCATATGCTCCTTTGGGGTTAAAGACATGTACATGGAAATCTTAGACTCAGAAATTTACGTATAGTGGGATTTCTACATGTACGTTTCACCATTTTTTTTTTCTACCTTTCCTGCGTATTTATCACATTATAAAGTCAGATACCGGTAGAACTGTACGAAGGTCTACAAAAGGAGAAGAAGTATCAGATGTTGAAATCTGAGAAACTTTTATTGGATCTTAGTATTCAGATATCACAGTATTGCGGTAAAATAAACATTCTTAGCAGTCAACTCGGATTTGTGGTTTTGGTTTTGTAACTGAGATTGCAACACAATTCTGAATGTGAATCTCTGACGCTTAGGGATTTTCCTTCGTGAGATGTATATGAAATTCAAAAGGGCAACCTTCACCTTTTTGTCTGTTCCACCTTGGGACTCACTTTTTCCCTTTTTTCTTTGCCAAAACTGAAAAGAAGGAAGAACATTTAGATAAAGTCAGTTTTAGCTTGAAGCTCAAAACCTAAAATAAAATGAAATATGGTTAAAGAGCACTTAATTCTAATGAAATTAATTTTTATACTGAAGCACAGGGAAGAAGTTAAATTTTGCAAAAAGAATAAGGAGTATCCAAGTTGTTATTTTTGTGTCCATAGATGATTATGTGAGAATCACTAAAAAGTATGAAGAGGCTATCAAGCATTGTAAGGAGCTGACAGCTACGAAAAGCCAGCTAGAAGTGATCCGCTCTGAGAACGAGACCCTGAGATTTGATGTCGACCGGGGCAAACAGAAAACTGAAGAACTGGAGAAAGATGTGAGTCCGTATTGGAATTCATTTCACTCCATTTTCTTTTTAAGTGGAAGCAATCATCAATTGTATTAATGGGAATAACCGGGAAAAAGGGGGCTGTGTCCAGTACAAGGCTGCCATTTTATTACCAGAGGGGAGAATTAGAGAAACCTATGGAAAGTTGATAAGCATAGTCCATAGAATATATGCATGGAAATGGACAAACACAGATGAGTTTGTACAAGTTGCTCGAGCATAAATAGTGCTTGCTCCTTTAGCCTTGACTAAATATGAAATATAACATGAAGAAAAACAAGTTGATATTCTTCTTGTAACATTAAAAAACTGCGGGCTTCATGTAGAATGGGTGTTTGGACAAGCCAGGAAAAAGGTGATCGGACAGATGACATTGTTATCTCTTCTTTAAATCCAGGAATGACAGTACTCCCTGAGTCATCGAGAGCATTGTGAAACTGGGAACCATCTTTTTGTTATTTTATTTTTTCAGTTGGACCTTTACGGAACTCGCTTTCCCAACTGGAACAAATCTGTTCTTGAGCAAGTGTGAATGTAATTGAACAGTTCAAGGACATCAGGCATTCCTTGGCTGTTGCTGTACTCCCTATTTTAACCTTTTCAAACAACCTCGTTTTTGGTTTTTTTTTGGAGATGCCTTTCTAGAATGACACCAATCACAAGAAAGTAGAGGGGGGAATCCAAACTGTGGCATGACATTGCTGATGAGTCCACATTCTTCCCGCAGACAGTCTTAATTGATTGCTTTCAGCAAAGCCAAATTGTGCTGCCACCTGCCCTGCCGAATCCACATTAAGGAATTGCCTAGCAGATAGTGGTCGTCTTCTCGGAGGGTTCCTCAGACAGACATTTCTCTCTCTCTTTTTCCCTCACCCTGATCCTTGTTCATAGCTTTCATCCTGCCAACAAGACCTGGAGACAGCTCACATGGCACAGCAGAAGTACCGGCAGATGGCAGAGACACAGCTAGGAGAACTCAGACGGTAAGTTGACAGGGAGAGAACCTTTGAAGTTAAAAGGAACCCATTTGATTGGACTGTGGGGACAAGCATTTTTCACAGGATGCATTTTTATACCAGCTTTGTATACATGGCATAAGAAAGAGACATTTAAAAAACAAATGATAGCTGTGATATTGTGACTTTTATGACTGATAATTGACCCCAAGATCATTTTTATTAAAGAAGTATGCTCTTTGCCAACTGTGCCTAATTCCATTACGTAAGAGTTTCATGAAGTTTATACTCCTGTATTTCTTGGTCTCATGTCCTTTTTCTCAACAGGCTGTTTAAAGAAATGGAAAAGAAGTATAAGATTGCACAAGGTAGTGGAGCTTTTATTCTTGAAGGATTCTTGTGAAAATAGGTTTTTTTGATTGAATCATCCAGAATGGGAACTTGACCAGATTCACTCTTAATATCAAGACTGGACAAAGAAAATAAACCAAAGCCGGAGGACATTTTGTGGAGTATTAGCACTGGTTACAAGTTCAGTTTTCTTTCTTCATTCCACAAATGTTTTATAATTTTTTTCTATTGTACAAAGCATATTTTCTCCGTTTCAATCCCTTGATAAGGGCAGTGATAAAATAGGTTTAGATCTTTTTTACTTTCCTTGTTCTTGAAATCAAAGTTTGATTCGAAAAGTGTTTTGGTTTCATATTTACTTTTGCTTATGCTTTGGGCAAGGAGGACATAGGTACCACAAAGACAAGGAAAGTTTCTTCTCAAAACAAGTTTGATTTAAAAAAAAAAACAAACTTGTTTGGAGACCTTAGAGGTCATTGTCCTTTTCCTACCCAAATGTATCAATTTATATAAAACAGTTAATCTAAGAAAAGAATAAACCAAATTATAGAACAACACAACTCTCTAAAAAGTTGGTTTGCTCGCCACGTTAAAGTATGGCTGGAATGAAGTTTTCCTCCACACATTTTTTCTACAACTTAGTCTCTTTCAATTTAGGAATAACACTTGTACATTCGTACTTGCTTAAATGCATTGTAAAGTGCATTTTTTAAAATTTTAAAATTATCCATGCCTTCCTGGGCAACTGAGGGGCCCGTTGCTGTGACGTCATCCGTGGTTTAGTGCATAGGTTTTTTTATTCTATTTGGTGGACCCAAAATTTACATACTAAAATCATTCCTGAGAAATGGATTGATGCTTGTTTTTTATTGTTACCCACATAAGAGTGAATCAGCAAAGAATAGAAAATTTGGTCCGGAAAAATCTACAAAAATGCAGGACTTCTTTCATGCACAAACCAGTGTAACATTGAGGCAGTCTTCCTGGGATGACATCACAGCGGTCATGAACCAAAAAAAAAAATGACGGTGAAATTCCCTGTGAAAATAAGGTTAACAGGGACACAGAGGTGCATTTTGAATGCTTGTATGAAAACAAATTGATTGCAACTACCATTTAAAAGATGAAATGACAAGGGATGTGAATGTTTGAATGACTTGGTGTAACAACTTAAGTCTACCAAGACCCTGAAATGTTGTCTTTTACCTTTTCTTCATTCTAGATAATGCAAGGAAGAAGGAAACCGTATTTAAGGTAACGTTATGGATATCAGAAAGTAAATGAGGAAATCTTACTTAAAAATATTTGGCAAGGTTGGTACAGAAGCCACAGTGGATGCTGCTGCCATGTTTGGTTCAAAAGTTCACAGGAAAATTCCATGAAGTACCACTGTAGGAAATATTAAATGTCGACCCAGTGAACATACTTCGTATTGCTTTGGTTTTGATTTCATTTATGAATCCCAAAACAGTGAAAGTAAATGTTGGCAGTGAGATGTTGGAATGTAATGAAAGTGGTGAAAAGTGTCTGTTATACTGTCAAGGATGAAAATGGATTTCAGATTATTGCCGCAATGGTCAGATGACACACATGCTGGCATTTTGTGGGGGGTCATATTTACTCCATTCTCTGCAGGCTTGAAAAACTTTCGTGAAGAGAAACTTTCCAAGTTAGTTTTACCATCGTTGAACAGTTTGTGATCCACATACATATTGATTGGAAAAGAGAAGAATGCTTTTTTCTAACTTGGAAATTGAAACACGTTTTAATTGGCCTCCATTTTACTTTGTCCCAGGATTTTAAATGTCTGTATTTGGTAAAAAGTGAAATGCAAGTTCTGTCATTATGACATGAACATTGTTAATGAGAAATAAATGGTATTTCAAGATGTACTCAATATATTTCAAGATGTCAAATGTAATTACGGGTTTTGCCCCCCCCCACTGATGTATATTTATAACACTGTATATGCAGTGCTTGTCCGATCTCCTGAAAAAATTCACAAGCTTACTCAGGTGGGACTCGAACTTCCTGCTTACTGGTACAGATGTCTCAACCACTCGACCACCGAGCTTGCTGGGGTCGGCTGGTCGGTCTGAGTCAGATGTTGCAGCGGGTGCCGCCGCAAACTAAATCAAGATGTACTTTGCGTCGGGGAGATGTCAATTCTAATTACGGGTTTTGCCCCTACACCAACACATATTCACGACACTGAATTTTTCACAAACTCTTGGACAAGCACCGAGTATACGGTGTCGTGAATATACATCGGTGTAGGGGCAAAAACCTGTAAGTAGAATAAACAGGGTATTCCCAACATTTCAGCACTCAAAAAGAAGCCCAACTCTGTCATCTTGGGCTAAAAGAAGTCAAATCTGATCGGCAGTGATTTTTATTATTATAAAAGAGAAATGAACAGAAAATTACATAAAACACAGAAATTGATATCTGGAGGGAACATTATACATCCTGATAGGTGCTGACAACCATTGTATTACATTTGTGCTGTAAACTCTCAAATCAAGGCTGATATTGGCTACAGAGAAACTTTTGCTTGGCAAACTCTGGTTTTTGGATGGAACCTTGACTCTACTGGTTTCATTGTGTAGTTGTCATACTGCCCTCTGTGATATGGGTGTGGGTGTACATGTGTGTGTCACAGGCCAAGGTAGCCCAGCAGGCACATGCACACCGGGCCCAGTTGAATGCTCTACTTGACCTGGTGACTAGCAGAGACAACCACCAAGACCAGCCGTCACCGCCACAAGTCGCTGTGTCTGCTCAGGAGGTAAGTGTGCCTTTGGACCCATGTGTGTGTTCCACTGTTCATTATTCCACGGCTGTGAGTCTTGACATAGCTGATCTGTGCACAAGGCTGATCTGTGTTGTGCACAATAGGAATAGTAACACGGCAGCAGGCATCCCATTCTTAGCAAAGTGCACTCTGTCGGACCATAGCTTGCTTAGGAAGGAACTGTTGAGAAAATATTTAAAAAAACTTGTTGCTCATGTATTTTGAAGCCAATTGTTTGTCATTGTGTGATGATCTGTATTATAAAAGTCAGTTTTCAGGAATCTGTCATTCAATACAACAGCTAGCTTATGAGCACATTTACTAACCGTCACTTAATTGTTCATTCATGGTACATGTATATGTAGTCTTGCCATAGGAACATGTGTAGAATACTTCTACATTTTTATAAGGTTTGATCAGAACTTCACAACACATAAATGCTTATAAGGCCTGGAAACAAGTTTCTTCCTTTTTTTTTTGTTAGTTCAGCATACTCTTGATACCATACACAGTTTATTTTTAATTCATCAATCAGTTTTTATGTCGTAAATGGATTTACATTGACGCTGTGAGAGTTTCAGTATGCTATGTAAACTGTAAGAAGCACCAGATATGGCACGCTTCCAACTTCTGGCTTTTTTTTTTTCTTTTAAGTTGTCTTTTTACTATGGGGTCAGTAATGTCTGAAGGTGTCAGCCTTGGGTGGCACTCATTCACATAACTTTGCATTTCACAGGGCCACATCATGGACATGTACCTAAAACTGTCTGGTTGTAGAGCTGAACTGGCGAGGTCAGGCATTGTTTGTCTACATGGCCTCCAAGTGTCTGAACAGTTCAGGGAAATCCTTGGAAATCTTGGGCAGTGACCTTTATCTTGTGTCTAGAGCTTGGTCCAGGTCTTTGCCGATTCTAAACATGCAGGCTCAGGCTGACGGTAGACGTAGCTGTAAGCCTTATTTTGGCCACTGCCTTCTAGGCTGTTCATGAGGAAGGATTTTTACTTTCGGGCCATTACAATAACAAGAGAACCCTCATTGAGGGGATTGTCTATTTTGCACCATTGTTAAGACCTGACAGATTTGTTGTGCTAGTCGATTTCGATAAAATTTGTTGTTGGCACAAGGCACCTCATAGGTAAGTTCCTGGTATTCTGTTAATAGTGCAAGAGATATTTGTGAAGTGCTACAAATTGCAATGAAAGTCATTGTGAACAATACAATCTCTAGCTCCCTCTCCTGTATACATTAATGCTTTGTTACAAGCTAGGTGGCTTGTAGGAAAGTTATTTTTATACAAATAATTTTATACAAGTTGTTTGACCACACACTCAAGACAACTGATCAGAGGTTTTTCTTTTTAAGAAATCTCAACTGCTTTCAGAGTCTCATCATGTGAGAATAGACAATCAAGAAACTTCCTGAAAAGGCATTTCTCTTCTTGAACGGAGACTACTTCTTGAAAGGCAGAAGCCGTTCATCTGCGGCTCAGATGGTTAAGTGTAAACCTTGTCTGTGGTGAGCTTTCAAGTTGGATAAAGCCTTTGATTGCTCATATGTCTCCGTTATTTGTAGATCTAAAAACCTCTAGAGTTTGGGTAGCAGGTGCCTCAAGTTTCTTGGCGAAACAAGTGCTTTTCACTCTACATACACTTGTACATGTAGTTGATTGCTCCCGTGCAACATTGGTGAGCTACCCCTGTATGTGAAGGCCACTGCTATTTCAAGATGAGTGTACATTTCTGCTTTTAACAAATTGGTATGAGTGGTGACATTGCTTGCTGTGTCACATTTCAGACTGTGTTATGATGAAACAACTTTGTGGGCATCAATCAAGGTTTGCTGACAAGCTGGATATTGTAACACATATAGATCAGAAGCATTGAATGGTGTTGTTCAGGGGCAGTCTGTGCCTCAGGTTCTGTAAGCAAACCCAACTCCTCTAAGGGTACCAACCCTGCCCCATTTATTGGTAGTCAATCTGGCCAGGCATCTCGTTTGACACCTGCAGTTTCCACTGAAGTAGGCTGTGGGGACAGCCAAGTGTCTTTTTGCTGTATGACCTTTGAAGGACGCGTGGTGGGGGAAAGGATATGGAGTGGGCTGTGGTAACACCATAATGTTGGAAATATCTCTCTCATGTGTGTTGGTGGGGTTGGACTCAACATTTTAGACAGAATGCAATACTCCGCCCATCAGGAGACTTTGTGTATCATTAAGAGAAAGGGGTAGGGCAGAGAGACGTACATGTGTAGTGAAAGTGAAATTGAAATTTTCCTGTTTACGCTGATTGTACACAATGTGAGAAACATTGTTGGGCTTGTAATCACCCAGGGCATCCCCCTGGAGATTTTGTAAAGGCTAGGAATAAACTTTCTACGGCATGAAAAGGGATTTAATTCCTCCTCTGAAATACTCTGCTGAGCATAAAGGTAAAAACAAAAGAAACGTAACCTTAATCTGAGGTGACTTGTGGCGTCATACCCAGTGGTTACTAGAGGGATAACACCCATGTCGCCCTCTTCCTTGTTTTTCCCTCCTGCTTTAACATCCTTGTATACTCTGTAGCATAACACAACCGTTCTTCCATGCTAGCGTACCCAGTGAATCATCCATACATGCACATGGATGTACATGTAGCCCATGTGACCACAACAAACGTATTGTAGTTTGGTTACATAGTCTGCGCAGGAAGACTGTCATGCAATCTTGAACAGCATACAGGATGTGACCGTAGAATGAAAAGCACAAGTGAAATTGAAATTAAACCATGAACATGAAAAATAGTTTCTCCAGGGTGGGACCACAAAGAAAAAGAAAGGCAGCCTCCTTTTTTTTTTTTTTTTTAACCGCAGCTGTTTCTAAACTGGACTGACAAACGTTGCACAGAAATAAGAATTATTCAAACTGCGCTGACATAGCATTTAATAATTATACATTTCATTACAAGTCACTAAAAAGCTGTGAAAGAAAGTGACAAATGGGCCAAATATTGTTTGCATCAAGCACTGTTTTGTCTTTTTTGAACAGTGCCAGTAGCAGGAAACAACTGACGTCAGCTAGCATGAAGTGTTGCAGTCCCCTTCGAGTTTCGGCTCTCTCATTTGGAAATTCTGTGTTTGGGGAAGGCACCTAAAACGCTGAAAAGAGAAAACAGGACAGAGAATGAAAAGTGGAAACATTTCCTGTGAATTTGATACAAGAAAGATGCAACTTCGGTAAACTTCCTCAGTTGTCTGGAATTCTTTAAGAATCACTGGCGGTGATTCTTGTGTAGCATTTGATTTTACAAAGAACCTTGCTCACTTGAGCTTTGAAATTCAGATAAGACAGTGAGTGCAGGCACTAAGTGGAAGCGTAACGTCTTTGATCATCTTGAGTCGAAAGATTAAAAGGTAGGATTCTCATCAGCAAACTTTGCACAGTTCATATATTTTTGTCCTTACAGACAGAATCAGCCATAACACACGTAGCTGAAAAGATCCATGGTTGGCATGTGACTTTTCCTGAGATCAGTCTATTTCCTCACTTTCTCCTTTCCTATGTATTCCACTTTTGGAATAGGAGGATAGGAGGATGGAGAATTTTTCTTCTTTTTTGGGGGGGATGGGGGATGAATAGCCAAATGCTTTATCTGTACACCTTCAATTTCCACATTGTTTTTGTTTAAAATGTTCCATCTCATACGTGCAGCTTTATTGAAAGTCACAAAATTCCACGAAAATCCACGCTGCATTAGACTGTCTCCACTTTTTTTAACTGATACTCCAGTATTCGATCAACTTTAGGCTTTTACCAAGATATTCCAAAATGTAGGCATCCAGAAATGGTTTGAAATGAAATTCTCCTTGCCGTGTACAGGCATGTTTGAATCGGTGGCTTGTAATTTCAGTGAATGTCATGTACATGGACAGAGGACCTGTTCCGATTTATGTTGTTGCTATGAGGCTGTGCAGTGGAGCGAGCAAATTGCCGTTTTTGTTTCCAGCTGTTTGCTTCTCTTCGTTTCATAAGCCGGCTTTATCACTTGATTCTGTTTGATTCAGCAATGTGAGGGTAGAATTCAGAATACTGGTGAATCGGTTTTGTGAAGCCTACTTGAAAAAAATTCAACTACATGTACATGTACGTGTACATTTACGTGGGAAATGACATGCATGCATTGGGATGTGCTGAATGTGGGGGGGAGGGCAAACGCTGCGTAAATTTCAGTTGAATGGGAACTCCCCCACGGTTCTCAGTTGTAAAGAATCCATTCAGTCAACACTATGACAACCCATGGATTTGCAAGCACACTGTTGGAAATCACGTCCCATGTAGCACTTGTTTTCTCTGTTCAGATCTGCAGTCTTTGTAGGCTCACTGTGCACGGGCATGTTCTGTTCAGTTGTGGACCAGCTTTTACAATATGTATCAAAGCCCATGGACAATTTTGCTGAGTACGGTGGCTTTTGAAGCTGAAATCTACATTTCTTGGTGACTGAGGCTTACCGTTTGTATGAAATTCTTTGCCAGTGGTCTGAATGAATATTATATACACACTGTGTAATTCGATATATTCAGACAGAACCTTTGTGATGCATGCCCCGCACTTTTACAATCATAAAAAACAATGCATCATTCCTTGCCATCCAGGGTTTAATTATGGCCCATGTTGCTGACTGGCAATGGACTTGCTTGTGCGCAGTTGTGTACCATGACAGTTAAAAGTATTAGTATTGCACAGGGCATAAATGTTTACGATTCTAGTCATCCAAACAAAAGGACAAGTCTTCTACATGCTACAGTATTTACATACAAATGGCAGATATGTACAGTACCGATAGTCATGTGCAGTTCAATTTTAATGTGCTCCCATTTTGTGTTATCAAATGATGGTGTAATGTATTGTTCCATGTGGCCACACAGTACATACTGAAACATATGCGCTATGTCCCGAAAAGTAGCTGTGACTTTTATAACATGAACAAAATAAAATAGAAAAATTCTGAAATCA